CAGGAAATTCGGTCGTATCTTTTCACATCGTTTCTTACCATCCATTAGCAGCCAGTGGCCAGTGAGCACCCATATGCACACAATCGATACCGAAAGCGTAAAGCTGAAGAGCTCCGCGGCTGTGAAGCGACCGCAGAATCCGAAGGAGAATCGCTTTCCATCCGTGCATGGCCTGATGATGTACTGGCACATGGGCAGCAGCAGAAAGGCCAGCGCCACGGTGGCTATGACTGTGGACAGAGATTGAGCAATATTTAATAAAACAAAAAATACGACATATTTCTTGAATAAGTATGCAAGTTAGTGATAATGATGGCTTTAGTCACTTTCGAGTTGAAAACTAAAATTAGGTATTATCAGCTCTTTAATTTACGATTAAAAGTAAAGCCTTCGCTTCAATGTGATACGAAGTGTAGCTTATTGTGTATAATCCTTAAAGGAAACCATATGCAGATAAAGGGATATATACGAGTATATATATTATTTCTACCATACTTACTCGCTGTGCAGACGGCGAAGAGCAGCTGCATCGAATCGAAAAAGAAGAACATGATGAGCAGTGAGATGGAAGCTCCGAGGGGCAAACACAGGGCATGCATCGTGTCCAGAGTGGCGAATTTATCCGCTGTGAAATACAGATCTGTAACTTATAAAACATTCCTTATGCTTTTGGATCCATTTCACACATACTTGGTTCCTTCTCGACGGGCTCGCCGGTCAGGAGATTGGTCATCGATTCATTTCGCTTCTTCTGCTCCCGCTCGCGGGCCTCCTGCTCGATGTTCAAGGACCGAAAGCTGCCGTAGACTATGAGCAGCATCGATATGAGGCAGGTGGAGACCCGAGACGAGTCCATTACGCTTGAGACCGTCCAGTGGAGTTCGCGGTATTCTCCACCGCCAGCTGCCGCTGCACCGCCTCCAAGTTGGCCGGCTCCAACAGTTTGAGCTCCCAGACCGCCACCGGCTCCACCGTGCGACATGCTCGCTCCGGTTCCTCCGGATGCGACTTCTATATCGCAGATATTGTAGTTTCAGATATCCTACTTATCGTCGCCGGTCGTCTTCTTCGCTTATCGGTCGACCTGCGCTGGGCTTATCACGTTCTTATGTCGGCTGCACCGCTTCAATCCTAACTGGAATGAAAAGTGGAATTTTGGTTTGGTTTATTGATTTAACGATAAGTATTTTGTTTGCCGACCTTATCGCAATTAACCCCCCGTATATCTTTTACCTTCTTCAGGTTATTTGGACAGCTGCGATTAGGCGTTTCAACGCACACACTCCTCCCAAGGTTTATTTTCCACGATGTCGCCTTAAGTCGAGCGCGGAAACCTTGGGGTCAACTTTCACGCACCTTACGAATTGGGTAATGAAAGCAAATTAGAACGCCACAAACACTCTAAAAAGTGAAGCACAACTTAGAATCACCAGTGACACGAATTGAATAGGCAACAGAAAGTACTTCATCGTAAGAAACCTGAGACAATGCAGCAGCGTCTCATTAACAATTATTATATCCACAAGATACTTAAATGTTCATCTTACATATCTTTAGATAGTATATTCGTTAATATACGTACGAAGTTAGAATTTAAACATTAAAATTTTACCGATGGTAAACCAATTATTGTTTAAATATGACTTTTATAAACTGCAAATGTCATTCCTCACTCCTCAGTGAATATTCATAAATAATTCACATGCATGTAACTGACCCTCTTTTCCAAGGTAATAAGCAAAAGTAATGAAAATAAAACTGGACTACTTACTTAGTTTACAATTGTAATGTAAACTAAAGGATTCCTCGAAAAACAGAATTTGCCGAAAACGCAATGTTGTTTTTAAACGAATGTTTACCTTTACACTTTTAAAACTATCGGAAAAACGGTCCAGACATATGTACATATCATATAAACAAACACATGTATGGACTGTCTATATATAGAAATTATATTTTATTTCCCCATTTCTTATTTACCGCGACTAGTGCACCTTTTCTTTCTAGACATCGAGTGAAGTAACAGGGAAAAAAATCATACCTATTTGTATATTATATTATATTATATTTATTCAAAACGTTCATCTTAAATTTGCATAGTATTGCACAAGAAGATTTCTTTAAAACGAAACGTTTTTCGAAACTGAACAGGTTTTGTTCTCTGTGTAGGGAAATTATAATAACAACAACCGGTGTGAGAAAATAACAGATTGTCCGCATGGGATTTACAGGCAGCAATAACAACAATTAACAGTGGAGAAGAAGGCCATAAAAAGCAGTTAAAATTGGAATAAATTATAAAAGCGTTACCCAGTTTTCCACGATGCCAGTTTCCCATTTTCCATTGTTATTGCCACAAATTCTATAGTATTTTCACAAACACAACGCACGCACACACACACACCCACGCAGGGTTGTTGCACTTGGCAAATGGAAATGTAAAGGCGCTGTTATTAGAGCGGCGCTCTGCTAACTCGCTAATGACAATAGGGCGACAGAGCGGGATAGTTGCGAATGACAATAAGAAAGACAAAGCGGGACAGTTGGCAACTTCCTTGGTCGGTGTTGTTGTTGCTTCAATCATGTCGGTTTTGTTGTTATTGTTGCATGTTGCCAAGTGCCGTTGCTCGCACTAATTTATGTTGACTGTTGGCAAATGTAAGTGCATGTGTATTGGTGGCTCTGTTTATGTATGTGTGCGGAATGCAAATGATTGAAATATATAAGTGCATATGTACATACATATGTATAAAGTGGTGGCCAAATTAATAGGGATTTTATGAAGCCCCGATGTCAAGAAATCTAAAAAATTATCGAGTATTTCTATAGGTTAATTAAAACTTGTTTGTGCGCAAATTTATATTTGAAAACTGGTTTAAATTATTACCCAGCTAAATACATTTTCGCTACGCTTTACTTATTTATTATTATTGCAGATTTACATAGAACTCAATATGCATGTATTTTAAAAATTAAGTATGTTTCTGTTAATTGGTACACATACAGTTGTGTGAGTGTACTTTTAATTTTGCATTTTCGTTAGTGTTGTTCAATTCATTTTTCCATTCTCCCACTGTTTCTATCTGCCTCTTTCCCCCCTGGATGCAACAAATTAAGTTTCCCACACACTGCAATTTCGAGAGGGCGACAAAATGACGAAGGGAGGTGGAAAATTGTTAGCGAGCGCTAATTAAAATTAAATTATGCGGCGGGTGTAAAGTTACAGTCTCCAAAGTTGACACAATTTGCGGAGACTTTTCACAGTTTAAGGCGGTTATCGAACATGAGCTACATAATTAACCAAACTCATTGAGAAAATGCCGCTCGCATCGCACACACACGCACACACAAACACACACAAGCAAACACTTTCTAATTTGAAACGCCCCAAAGTGGGGAAGAAAATACAAATAAAAGAAGTACCAAGCAATTGGCTTCGCTGTAACTGCCCACGACGAATGTGAAAGTGAAATTTGCGAAGTTACAGCGTTCGCGGCCCCGAGGGGGGCGAGGGGGATTTCTTGAGGGGGGTACGGACCTCTAACGTAGAAAAGAGTGGACTTTAAACATAAATATTTACCGCTACCTTGTGCACAGTAGTATTTTAAATTGAACAAGCACACAATATAAATGTAGCTTTGGAAAAATAAATAGTAATTCTATTAAAATCCTAGAACTTTTAAAATTATGCACGAAATAGAAATCACTCATAATACGAATATACTTTTTAAAATCTTAGTCATGAACAACATTTTTTATTAGGTTTTCTAGCAATCTACATATTATCATTCTGATCTTGTAAATTAACGTTCGCTAATATAACAATATTTACACTGTAAGCAGTACAATCCGCTACGGGGGAACCAATTAAGTTTTTAAGTGCACTGAACGCGGAAAGCATAAAAGCAAGTGCGTAAAGTGGGCGCAAAGTTTTACGTTTATTATGCAAAAAGGGGGGAGGAGGGAGGGGCTTTACTTTGGCAAAGACTGGCTTGCAGCGCTTGAGAAATTTTTCGTACGACTAAAGCTTAGGCTGCGCTTTAAGGTTTTTTCCCCGCTTTTCCGTTTCGTGTTTGGTTACACTCCACTTCATTTCACTTCTCTCCATTTCCATTCCACAAAACTCCAACTTCGCTCCACTGCGTAACAAAATTACAAGACACACTCACACAAACTTGCAACAAACCGAAGAACAACAACATCAGCAGCAGCAGCAACAACAAAGTGAGGGGACAAAATTGTCAAGTCTCTGGTTTCAATGCAATCGAAATATATATTGAAAACGTATGTAGTGCACTCGATTACTCCCCAAAAAGTTAGGGGGACTTTTCGCTTACTTTGCCTTCACATTCACATTCGCGTTTGGCTGTATTTTCCTTGGTTTTTGTTTTTCCCTTTGCACCGATATTCGTTTTCGCGATAAAGAGGTGTCTGCTACATTTTCACGCGCATTTCATTTGCCTGCGAGCCGCTTTTCATGCAGATTTCCACGATCTTCGGCGGTCGCTGCACTTAAACGTTAGACAGCCATTTTGCATTTGTTTCTATTAGTAACTATTGCGGAGGAGAAACAACAACGGATTAAGCATTTCACGCTTTAGGCCATTTTCGCCTGCGCGAACAGTGTGACCGTTTTGCGGAAGAGGATAAACACCGCGATCCCATAGCGGAAAAATTTGAAACTTTTATAGAGTTTTTCGGTGCTTAATAAAATTATAATATAATGATTTATAATTCTAGATTTCCAATTTCCGACTTTTATAAAATTTAAAATTGTATGTGACTTATACCGCGAACACCCAATATGTAATTAAAATCTACTTCATAAATGCATATTATAGTAGAAGCATTGGAGATAATAGTTATCGATAGGTATTTTTGGTTTGGGTATAGGCTTAAATTCCAAGCGGTTGCAAAAAATCTTATCAAAGTTATGCACCTAATTCTCAGGATACTTTAGAGGTCACCAGTTTTTGGTATTTAGCCTTTCTATACCCGATGGTATATTTGAACGGCGCAGCTAACGGTCGCACTGAATAAAGTATTTTACGTTGGACGGACGCCCGATGCACAAATAAAATTTTTAAAACAAATCGGGTGCAACGGCCAATCGCGCAAACAGTGGTTCAAATCTGTGCATTTTAGCACGGGAAAATTGAAAAAAAAAAACTGAAAAATAAAGTGCGACCGACCGGGTGTTTTGAAAAAGTGTTAAAGGTCGAAAAGTGCAGGCGACACTGCAGTTCGGGGTTCCTTTGAAAAAGAGCATCTCCAAGTGGTTGACAAACCAGTTAAATCACAGCCACTTTTTAAGGAGTTACCCATTTGAGAATATTAATCCGCCATGGGTCTCAACGGCTGCTGTTCGTGCGTCAAATATCTGATGGTCCTTATAAACATTTTATTCTGGGTATGTAGATTCCAGCAGCAGCAACAACAATGCGAGATTCGATTCTTTCCCATCACAACAACAACTGGAACACACGGACCTCCTTTCGCGCGCGTGTATGTGTGTGTATGTGGGTGTTGCGTGAGCGAATGTGTGTGTGTGTTGTGTATTCCCTACGCCCCTCTTTCTCACGCTGGGCAAGGGGCTGGAGGGCGAGGGGAGGAGCCGTGCGCACGCTCTTTCGAGTCCTACCGCTCTTATAGTCCCTCTCTCCACTCTCCCGATCCGAACGGTGCCCAAAAAATGTTAAACCTTATTTAAAAATGGGTATGCCAAAATAGTAAGAAACGAATTGCAGTATTTAAACAAAAAAGAAAGTAAAAAAATAATACTTAAGCTGGTTTTAAAAGATTTATAAAATATTAACTTAATTCATATTTATTTTATTTAAAATCGAGGAGCCTACATTATATATTTGAAAGTCAACTAATATATTCAATTAACTATATTAGATAAAATGTTTTTTATAAATTATTAAAAATTCGGTTTTAAAACCATTTATTATGAACTATTTAACTTTTAGTTATTTAATACCATTTATAACTTCAACTGGCTTTTTAAAGCGACATCACTGTAAGTCTCCCCTTCCCCCTCGCACTCCCAGCCGCTCCGCTCGTACTCCCGCATAAAAACAATAGAAGTTCCGCTGTGGGAGGAGAGTGAATGACACACACACACACCTCAGCACACAGACAGATAAACATTTATGCATCTCCATTCCCACCTCCCACTGTTTTCTTTTTCCTCCACATGTTTGTTCAGTTGTTTTTCTTTTGCTTCTGTCTTTTCCTGCCTCTCTCTTTTTTTGTTTTATTATTTTTATAACGCATACGTGCCTTTGATATTTTTACAAACTTCGGCTGGCTTAATTCGGTAAAAAAAAGGACCTCCTCCCCCGCCGAAAAAAGGGTTTTATTTCTTTGCACAACTTATCTGCTTGTTGTTTTACGCAATTTTTGACTTTCAACATTGCCTCGTTCGGCTTTCAATTGTTTCCATTCAATTATTATCTGCCACTGCGATTGTTTGTGTTTGTTTTCCTTGAGTTTTTCTTGGGGCTTCCTCTTGTCTTCCGCGGCTTGCGAAATCAGTTTCGCTTTTCCTTTGGGCAACAAATTTGAAATTTTGATTCTTATGCGGGCTGTTTTCATTTTTTTTTTGTTGGTCGGCTTGTTGATTGTTGCTGCCTTTTTTCGATTTCTGTCTATAGTATTTATTAGTCAAAAGCTATTTTCGAATACGGGCGAGGAACAACACAAACTTACGCGTCCGTTTAGTTTTTCGCTGTTGTGCACAGAAAGAAAATGCTGATGCTTTCCCGGGTTTCCTGATTAAAAATTTCGAAAACCTTTTGCTTGGGTTTTTCTTCAGGAACGTGTCCTTGGTCACTAAGGGATTACAGATTAATAATACATCTATCCCATTAAGATTTAATAAATTATTTGGCGTTTTTGTAATGTTCCTTGATCTGTGATGTTTTAGTATTCATGTTTGGTGTTGCTGGATGCACAGTGGTATGGGTTTGAATTCAGTAAAGGAATTCAGTGAGTGATTTTGATGTGTTTGTGATGCAGTTCGTTTCAGTAATCGTTTGAACTATTTTTAGAGCGATCTATGGATGGAAGTGCGTCAAATATTTATTTATATAGAGCTTTGAAGACTTTTTATACATTGTTTTGCTGGTATTTTTAGCCAGGGCATGTTATCAATTATTCCACAAACCCACAATCTTGAATACATTAGAATATTTATTCAACTTCTTAAAATATGACCACAGTTTGAATAGTTTTGAATCTTTCCGCACTGTGCATCGGTTTCCAAACATTTCCATTTTCATCGTCGCCGTGGGGCATCGTGATCAAACGCCACGATCTCTGAGGACGCTGACGTTCCAATGAGGCCGATACGATATCCCAGCTCCAAGACGCCGGGGGAGGCCTATGCCAAAAGCGTCTAAAATGCTAAACGGCCGGCGCTGTCGTCATTGAAGTTGACAGTGACCAATACTGAAAGATTTTCATATATTCCGTCGACTATCTGACAGTCCTATCCTGTCCACCCACTAAAAAAACCCATTTACTCATTCCCAGTCGGACATCCGTAGTGCTGAATTTTTAAATTTTTAAAAAAATGTAATGATTTGCTTTGAGTCAAGTAATATTTTAATATATATAAATATAAAGTAACGAAGCTGGCCTGTATCTATTTTCAATTCGCTCTGACATGTCACATTTACATAGTAAATTCGCTGTGCTATTTTTCACTCAATTATTCATGAGTGGCGCTTCATTCATTTTTCAATTTGTGTATTCAGTTTATGAGTTGCATGATGGCTGTTGGCTGCGATTTGCCATCGATGCGGTTAATTGTGGGACAAAACTGTGACTGTGGCTGTGACTGGACATGCAATACAAGCCCAGCTGCCTTTTGCCCCATTTTTAAAAATTTTTTGTATTGCAGTCTATCAGCAGTAAAATGCTCTCTCGTTTTCCGCTTTCGACGCCTCGGCTCTGAAAACTGGGTCAACGAAGGACTCTACACATTTATTGGCCCGTTCGGCGGGCTTTTTGCTTGTTTGTCCTGGACACGCGACATGGTGTCAGATGTGTAAAAATATATATGTGAAAACGTTCGGGGAATCGTAAAATTCCAACAAATATAGCTACAAACAAGGCGTGGATTCAGTTCGTTCAGGGAAAATGGTTCTGATTCCAAACGGGGTCAACTTGTTTGCTCTAAAAGGTTGGGGAATTGAGTTTTATCCAAAGTAGTAAGAAGAATATTACCCTCTCCTTTAAATACAATTTTAAAGAAATTCAACTCAATGACTTACATTGTGTATAATATACAATGTTATACTGCCATACCCACAGATCTTTTTTCTTAAACCTTCCCTAGAAAAATAAATAAAAGTTATGCAAACAAGGTCTTCTGAATACAATGTACTTATGTCGTCTATGCATCAGTTGTTACTCAATAAACTGCCCTCGAATGGGGCAACATTGTATTACGTTTCCATGAGTAGTTTTTCCGTTAGCTGCACACACATTCACATTCATGAACTTTTGGGCCAGCAGCATATCGTGCACTTTGTGGCACATTTTTTGTCTCTCTCACTTTATTGCAGCTCTCTCTTTCGTGGACCACCCACATAAAGCCGGTCTCCGCTTCTCTTATATTCCATAAGATTTTCATGTATTCTACTACACTTCCTCTTGCTTATTTACTCATGTTTCTTGGGCGCCAAAAGCTGTTACTAAGACCTCTCATTTTCGTGTATCTTTAAGTTAAATAGATATTTGGGTATTGCGAGATCCGCTGCGTAATCTTATCAGGAAGCACTGATGCCCGAAACGCTCCAATTTTCTTTGCAGTTGCAAAAGCATTCGAGCTGAGAATAAACACGAGATAAGAAGTGTTTTGCAATACGAAATGCTTCCCAGTCAACCTTCGTTTCTTAGGAGGTTATAAATTTACATATTTTGCATTGTAATATGTGCACTTGTTTACATCTCTTGATTAGCTCTCATCGCACACTCAATTTCCCTGCGATGAATAATTTTTCTGAATAATTAATGAACTTGCATAGACACCTTGATGCTTGGCAGCCCAACCTATTAAGTCATTAGCTCTTTATTAGATTTTCTCACTCATTGCACGAGCGGAAATTTAAGCACATTTTTCTGGATGGTTGCGTTGGCAGCAGCGAGTTATGTGTTTCATTTCTGGGCAGAAAACCCAAGGGGAATTAAGTAACCAGAATTCCTTAAACGGAAATTCAAAGAAAAGTTCATATTCCGTTTGCTGATAACCCGAGATCTCATATAATAAGAGCTCGCAATTCTCATATTCTCGCTGGGGACAATGTCTTGCCACTGTATATAAATACAGTATGTCTTGGCGATGAAGTCCAAATATTTAACTCGAAACCAAATTTTATCTGTCGCATTTTTGTTTAACGCATCATTGATTTACTTAATGGGCCTTTTTTATGGGTTTTGGATCTGTCTACTGTATTGAATAACTAATAGATTATTTGAACAAATAAAATGGATTGTAGACATTTGTAATTTTTACTCAGTGTCATTTTACTGCTTTTAATTAAATTAAAAGTAGCCCAACAGCAGTTGCTATATAGTCTGCGTCCAACCTAGCTGACATCATATGTATGAAGCTATAGAAGTTTAAGGGACGGGAAAACTGGGCGGGTCAGACTCCCACTTTAATTGCCGCCTTGCCAGATGGCGTCATTGACGCGTGTGCCCCAGCGTGATGGATGCAACAATTTGAGAATTACATAGAAAATGTGTAAAAATAGGTAATGCTCTACTATATTTTGCGGTACTCTTTTCGCTTACAGCTCATCGGACTGACCATCGTGGTGACCTCCGTTTGGATGCTGACCGATCCCACGTTTATGCTGTCGATGACACAAAACTACAATCATTATCACATAGCCCTGTATGTTTTCCTGGCCATCGGCATCCTGATCACATTGGGCGCATTCTTTGGCTGTTGCGGAGTTTGTCGGGAGTCGCAATGTCTGCTGGTTTCGGTAAGTGAAAAGTGCATTAAAGTACTATCATAACCAGTGTCTGGGAATTCCAATTAAAATGAATGCAAATGTGTGGCCCACACTTTTCTGCTCATAAGATTGCAACGGACGTTCGCCCACAATGTCTTGGCAGCTTGGCAAAACGATGCACTTGCCGAAATAATTCAAAAACTAACGAAACTGGATTGTAATTACAAAAAATTGATCTAAGAGTGTTGCAATTTTCTTAAAAAAAAGTATATAAAGAAGACAATATACACTTCCTAAATGATGTGAAGTTGCACTCTTATGGAGTTCCTTATTGCGAGTGCAAGCATTTCTTTCTTAAATCGCAACCAGTTTATTTACTCAACGCCCACGGTTCCGACGCACTCCGTCATTCATAAATGTGAAATTCTTTTGCAGTTCTTCTGTGTCATACTCATCGTGATGGTGGCACAAATCGCAGCCGGGGCATGGGCCTTCCACAACAAAGACAAGCTGGATGACATCGTGCGGGCGGCAGTCAAGTCGTCAGTCCAGGAGGAGTACGGCCAGTCCACCATGAGTTCGCGCACCGTCACCTTTGATACGCTGCAGAAGAATGTAAGTGCTTGGACATACCCACCAGCTCGCAGGAAAAACGATTTATGCGAACTTCTTTATTTGGTTTCAGTTGAAGTGTTGCGGTGCCGATGGACCTGGAGATTGGGCCACGAGTCGGTTTAATAATGTGGATCGCACAAATATTGTGGAGATCGCCGTGTCTTCCATGAATGTCTTCTATAACATACCCGAGTCCTGCTGCAAGGATAATTTAAAGGATAACGAGTGTGAGCTGTCGCGACGCCTCAAATTTGGTGGGCCCTTGAACAACGCCATTTATCAGCAGGTAATGCCAATGACCAGCTGAAGATTTTCGGAACGCTGCGTCATGCGAAATGAATCAAAAAAGATATAGTGAAATTGCAAGGAATGAAATGAAACGAATTTGTTTACTGACTCATTTATGTAGTTTCTATCTGCGACAGTTTCATTTAATTGACCATTCCTTCAACGATCGCTTTTCGATTCAGTGAATTACCAAAAAACCATTAAAACTCAATTGATAGGTGTGTCCGAATCATAATTTCATGGCCTGCCGATCGCTATCGCCGCCTGCTCATAAAAACTAATAATCCTTTTTCTTGCGGTTCGAAAGCACTGGGGAAATAAAATTTGACGCCCGACAATGTCGAGACGATAAAAACGTATTAATTGATATTGATATTCAGCACGCATCTCAAACTTCTGTCTGCCAGTCTGGTTGGCGTTTGAATGCGAGCTGTAAACAAACTGAATGGAAACCGAACTGACTTTCATACAAACCGATTAATGAGTTTCATATTTGTGTCTTGCAGGGCTGTGTGGACAAGCTGATTGAGATCATCTACGAGAACTGGGTCACCATTTTCGCCATCACCGCCGCTGTCATTCTGCTGGAGCTGCTGTCCCTGACATTCGCCCTGAGCCTCTGCTGCGCGGTCAGGAATCAGCACTACAAGGCCTGAGAATTACAGAACTCCCATAGGGAAATCACGGACGATGAGAAGTACTAACAAACCAAATCGAAACGGATGCATAGCGAGCGTTATTACTGAAGACGCGCGAATGGGGATAAAGCATTTAGCAGCGAAGGCTAGCGAGATAATGTACGGTGTTCCCTGGTCAATACTTTAACAACACAACTGACGACAGAAACAACACACTTTTGTAGTACTTTTAACAACATGACAAGCGAAAACAACACGAGACAGCTGAGCAATTGTATAAGAGATGGACGAGGCAAACTTTTGGAATTTGTGAAAAGTTTTTAAAGCACAATCTCAGAAGCGACTTTATATGAACTTGATACGCCAGCAGAGCAAAAACATACAACTCTTTTTTAACAGAATATTTCTACCACAAAAAACACAGACAGTAAACTTCATATATGTACGAACAACATAAGCAGCTCCATAATACTTAGCCTAGCGAAAAAATTTTGAATTCATAGATACATACTATATATTAAATATATAGATCAAAGCATAAGCACAAAAGTATAATGTTAAATGCCAAAACAAATGGAAAATTGTAAAGAAGAAATCAAGCAAATTTCTTTTAAAATTTGTTTCCTCCCATAAGACTTTTGAATCAACTACTAATTTGTTTTTTTTTCTTATGTGGCCATTTTTGTATGCTAACACCATGCCAAAAGATATATTAAATCATATATACGTATGTAACATATGATAATAGCATTCCACAAGAATGAGAATGATTGACAGATTTTTGTTCTGGTAAAAACGCATTGCCATCCAAAGACCCAGCCGAAAATATAGTTTCAAATCACTTCTGAACCTTGTGCAAAATGTTGTGCTAAAATCGAATACCATTCAATTCGTAGAGCTTCGCGAAATTAAATGCCAAATATTTTATGTATTTACAAAATTGTAATTTAATTTATTTATCACCTATTTATTTGAGCATAAGCAAGGAGCAAAAGCAAAACGTTAGAAAATTATATGTAAGTGTTGGCCATTCTGTTGACAAACAGCATTCTGTATATTTACTCCTCAAACGATCCCCAAACAGTATGATGGTCTATATGATACGTTTGTATAACCTTGCAGATACTATTACCAATTAAGCCTGATGGCTGTACTGCGATTGAAGAAACATTTTGATCTGGTTAATTATTGTAATAACTGCAAGGAGATACAGAGCTATCCGAGCTATCATTGACCATGCTGTGCACACCTTTGAAATCACACACTTTAAACGAATTTTGTCGAATCCAACATACCTGCATCGAAATATATTTGATTTTTCCCTCCTCGTGCAAGGGGAACTATTTATATGGGAAACCGTTGAAGCAGCACAAAATGTTAAATGAATAGTACACACGAACGAAACAAAAAGTCTCTATATTTACATTGTATTTTTACCATACACCATAAATTAATTGAAGGATATATATTTTTTGTAACATTTTCATTTTATTGTTGTTATATGTGAATTTTGTTGTTAGTTAAGCGTAGCCAGAACGTCACACTTTGTACCCCTTCACAACGTTTAAATAAATTAAATCTACAAAAATCAATATAAGGACAAAATTATAATAAATTTACAAAACAAATCGCAATAAATATATATTGTATTTAAATTTACACATTAAAGTAAATTATTTATTTTAAGATTTCTTAGTAAGTAAAACACATCAGTTAAAACACATAAAAATAATAAAGTTTTAGGCTAAGAATTAAACCTCATAAAATCAACGTTCATCTGTTGGAATTGTAGCGAATATTGGAATATTTAGGAAATAAAATCTTCAAAATTAAATGTTCTCTAAAAATTAAGCAGAATTGAACGTAGCTAAATATATATAGCATAAAACTCCATCAGCATCTAAAATCAAAACCAAAATAAGTAAAAGCATCTACTCTCCAAACAAAGATACAATCAACTCAGCATCTACATAACGTACGGAAAATACACAGTTTGTATGAAATAGAAGTGCACATTTAGCAAGGCATCTACATAAAATCGAAAAAATTAAGCAATATGAACGATGCTCAAGATCTGTATTTAACAACATAATACCTACAGCAAAGGTACAGATAAACTCAATCATGGATAATTGAGATAAATTATAGAAAACCGCGGCATACAAACTGATATTTCAAATAAATAAACATACAGTAAATACAAAATATGAGTTATAATTCATTTGTGGTTGGATTTTGTGTAAGAACAAGATTAGTACCTCTACCCATTACTCGTAGGTTAAAGGGGTATACTAGGTTCGTTGAAAAGTTCCGTTTCCTAATCAGGATCACTATCTGTCAATACTGTGGAGGATATATTTTGTTTTTATTTAGTATATATTTACTCCGCCTAATAAAAAGACAGAGTACATAATTAAAGTGGTATTTTTATTAAAATGGTTTATCTCTTTTACTCATTACCCAATTTGTTGTTGGGCTTGTTTTTACATTTATGTTCTTAATTGTTGGTTGGTTTTCATTTCAAGTGGCATAAAAACTTGTTTGTTGTGTTATTTAATGGTATGTCTTATTATCAGAAAATAACTTAAGTAAAACCGAATTTTAAACCAAATGTTCGAGAACTTAAGTAATAATGTGATTTACTGAAATTAAATTCCATTATGTATTTTCTAAGTAGACAATACTTAACTATAGGTACATTTTAGTGGATTTAGGTATAAACACATTTTTAGGTTCTTTTAATAAATGTTATTCATTAAAGTTAATTTGAAAAGTTTACAACAAATAGCTTCATTTTAAGAATAATGAATGTTTAAGGTTAATATCAGCATCTTTAGTCAAATAAAATAATGAATTTTACGAATGGTTTTGTAGTCGCTTTATAGGTTAATTATTGAAGGTGTATTATATAAGTAATCGCTTAGAGAGCTTACTTTAATTTACTTATAAACAATCCAAATCACTAACCACGTTTTCTTTGTTAATTTGTTGTATTTATTATTATTATTGGGATAGCGCAAACCATTTATTTAGTTAACAAAAGGTTTTAGATTGATGGTATCTTGGCTGAAAAATTATTATCATAATTTACATTTACTATAGGTACATTTGGATTAAATTTAATTTTAACGAAATACGAATTAAACGTTCTTTTAAAAATAAGTTACACCACTTTAGTTACACCTATTATGTTCTAGTATCGGAAACTGATTCCAGCTAGCTAGTACAAATTAAACATCGACTTCGACATAGCGTAAGGGATAATCTAGATAGTAATCTTTCCGGACATTTAGCAGCTAAAACCGATTTCTAAACATTATCTGCCGATTCGACTGGTTAAATAAATAATCTTTAGTTTAATATTTAAGTTTTTAACATTAGTATAAGCGTTTCAATTTCATTATTTATTATGTTGACTAGTTAGACACATAGCTTTCCTCAATTCGAATGATAGATTAATATCAATTAGTTGCCATTTTGTTTTTTTTGTTTTTTTTTTTTTGGACAGTGTACGTTCATATTGCATAGATCGTTTCTTAAGAGTTAGAAATTGTGGGTGGTTTAACGAGTAGGTCGCATAGGTATTTGTTTAGACAAGAATACATTAATATTCAACAAAATGTCCTTGTTTAACACATTTACTAATGCTAAGATTATTTGATGATGGAATCGCTTTAAATGGCTTTGCCTTTCTGATGGGAGTATTTTTAACTGATCGTTTCGTTTATTTTTTAACCCTGTCTGAAAAATGGTGGAAGAATCCTCGCCTAGTAGGTATGCTTAAAATTTAAAATATTTTTATGCTTAACAAAGTCGTAGGCTTGCTGAAGCTCTGATTCAACCTAAATTATATTATGGTTGAATCTTGATAAAGCTCCTACGTGTAATAATTACGGTTGGCATAGTTTTCAAAGGCCAACATTTAGATATTTCTCGTCTAAAACACAGTTAACACATTTTAAATGACACCTGCTAAGTTGAGTATTTAAATTAAAAGGTTTTGACGTCATTAAACCACTGATTCCTGATTTTTATTTCATTTCCTAGTGTCCTTCGCTTAAGGCATTTTATACAGAAAAATGTTTTTGTTCGAAGCAACAATGGAAGAACAATGTGTACAACTAAAAGCGGAAATAGGAAATATCAAACCACATTGATTGTCTTGTCTTGTTCATGCACAATTAAGCATTCAATGTTTTTTTTTTTTATAAAAACGGTCTCGTTTCATTATTATGTTACAATTTAATTTCGCTGCACAAGTTTTTTCCATTCCAGAAGATATTCCTCTGAAGTTTGTTTTTGGGGAATAATGAAATGGGTGTAAAAAATATGGGGGTCTTTACGAAATAACCGGGCAAAGCGTCGCGTGCTTGTGTGTGAATATGTTCTGGCAAGTGTAATTTAATTTAAATGTAATTTAATTGAAGAGTCGTGATGAGAATTGCATTTATCATTAAAAAATCAACACGACCTTGTATAAATATTAAATCAAGCGTAATTGTCAAGTGCTATTTATATATCGGTGGTTGGTCGGGCACACAAAACCCAGGCATCATTTATTCATCTGTTTATGTAGTATCTATTTTTTGTTTTGCCGCTTTAAGCCAATATTGCTGGTAGATAGCTTTATTGAGAAGAATTGTAAATTCAATTAGTTGATGAGACACAATAACGCACAAATTCAAACATAAATTCATAAATTAAAATGGGGCTAATGGAATTTTCCACAATCCGAATTAATTCCATTTATCCTTCGATTCGCGTTTTTCTTCCTAATTAACAGTGAAGCCAATGGCTTAAACTGTGTGGATTTTTAATTTAGCTCGTTCGAAACAATAAAGGTGAACCAAGGAAATACGTTTGTTTGGTAATATTTCTTTAGGCTAAGTGTATATTTATACTTTAGTATTCTATTATTTGTTATGCGTAATTATAGTAAAGTAAATCGTGTTGAGAGCTCGGTTTCTCTTGTTTTCGGTATACCAATTCCATTCCTGAATCAAACATTTGGTTTGGTGGTTTAGTTTAGTTCTGTTGTCGAAATCAATTTCATTTACACATATATGTATCATACATGCACATATTCATATAGTAAATACATATATAAGACCAATTCGCTTTTCACGGCAGGATTAAATTCATAATATGCTCAAAAAATTACATATTCTTTATAATCAATCTTAGTCGACCTCTTTGTTAGTTATATAATAACACACTCATAAAGTTTAAAGATTTCTTCCTTCGATATTTGCCTAAACTAATTTTATTTACTAATATGTTTCATTTCCTCGTTTTCCATCAATTTCACTGGTGTTTTTCATGCTTGCTTGGGGTTTTCCCCCTTTTTTTTGTAATATTTTTTTAATTTTTTTAGGGCTGTCAATTTCCTAGAGTTGCTTATTGCACTTATAGATCTATAAGAGATATTATAGTCCTGGAATTGCGTAGTCCTGGCTCTAGCTCCCCCTCTTGTCATCAAAGGTCGTTGTCGAACATTTGTAGCGATCGAGTCACCAAGTCGTCCTTCAGGCAGGCCTCCAAAAACTCCTCTATCGTTATAATGCCATCCTGGTTCAGGTCCAGTTTGCGGAACACACGATCCACCTGGTTAAGAAAACAATAAACTTAATGAGTTACTCTTTAAATATTACGACCATACATCAAGTACCCATAACTGATCAATTAAATTAAGTTACTCCCATATCCGCTTATTACTTATAAATTTCGTTGACTGGCACAAAGCCATTTTCAATTTAATCGCTCATTTCAATTTCAGCGACTTTTCATTGGCATTTTCGCTTAAGTATTATCCGCGGGAAAAAGCGAAACCTTCATCATTAAGTAAAATATCCGCCGCTGTTTCCGCACACGAAAGCATCCGTTTTCCCTTGCCCGCCAACTTTTCACCAACTGTCGATGCAATTTCGATTCCCGACTTATGCATTCCGCATGTATGCGCATATTTCTGTGTGTGCGCCCCATCATAATTACTCATACGCACTGTGCGCCCGACTAACGTCAGCGGATGCTGCACGTTTCATGAAGTGCGGCTTTTGCATAAAGAATGAAGCATACAAATCTGCGCCAGAGGAAGTGCGATGCATATGCAGATAGACATTTCGACAGAATGGCCTAGAACGTAATGCTCATTGTGGATAAGCACAGATTTTCTTTTGTATCTTGAACAAGGTGATTAAAGCCTAGCATCGATGGCTAAATGCCGTATGAGCCGAGTTTACTACAGTTTGGGCAAAGTTCGAAGTGGAATCCCTATGGTAAACATATACGTTATCTTACCTGATCCCTCGCCTTGCGATCGTCCTCAGGTTGATGTGGTCTCCGGCCCATAAGCTCGTGAATGGCCAAAATAATTTCACTCAGTTCACCGCGACTGATCCTTCCGTCGCCGTTCAAGTCGTACAACTTGAAGGTCCAACGCAGACGCTCATAAACTGAACCTCTCAGCAAGGTCGACAAGGTGACCAGTAAATCCTGATCAACATTGAAACGTATGGATAAGTGCGGTTGCGAAATATGGCGCAGATGGTAATAAAAATATAATGAGAAATAATTACCCGAAAACTAATGGCGCCATTGCAATTAACATCGAACGCTTTGAACACATAATGAGCGTATAAGCTCGAATCTGTATAAATAGAACAGAGGCAAAGTAGGCGTGTCAGGTGATTTATTTATTTTATTTCTGTTCCTGATTATTTGGGGGTATTTTGGCATTTTTAGAGCAGCTGCTGCAAGGACGAAATGCTCGCTAAATGGCGCTTTATGACGCGCTACTATAAAAAGGAAAAGCATAAGACCTTAGCGACAGCACCCGCACACACAGACACACCCCAAAATGGGGGACATTTATCCACACACAAATACTTACTGCCATGTGGAAAGAATTTGGCGTAGATATCCTTAAAACAATCCTCGTGTACCACGCCCTCGGGGCATTCCTGCGAAAAAAATGAAATCGCCATGAAAGTGTTTGCTCGGTTAATAACGAAAAAGGCAAATGTAGGAACAGCGAGTTCCCAAAAGGGCAAAAAGGACTAGACCGCGAAATATCTTGCACAACCTTTGAGATCATTTCATTTAAAGTACATGAATGCCTAAGTAATGGCGAATGAAAATGAAATGAGAAAGCAATGCTCTACTTTTGTGCTTATCAATTCGTTAATTAAAAAGTATTGAGCTCCATCTATTTCGCAACGAAATCCAAAGTACAAGTCAGCAGCCAACGAGCAAAACAGCAAATCGTCAATAAGGTAAACTACCAGCCAGCAAAATATCTCAAAGACAAACTATCAATGGGGCAAACTGTCAATAAGGCGAACTCTCTGGCTCAACTCTGGCTCAAACTATCCGTTTACTTGACTCATGGTCAGGATAGCTCATCTCTTGTTGACCCACATATTGCAACTTTTTCGCTGAGTTGGCCTTTTTCCGCACTCTTTGGTGCAAAAGTGCTTGGGCACACAATCGCTCGAAAGGAGCAAATTCATTTGCAATGAAATTCAAAACGCGTGTGCATTAAAATGACAGACATTTAAGCAGCGCTCGTTTTCGTACCACAGCTGGTCAATGCGTTGTTCTTGGCTTATAAAGGACTTTATTATTCGGCCAAATGGAATGGTGCAATAAAAATAGAGTTTCGCTTCTGCGCTCAAGTGCATTTAAATTGAAATATAAATTCAGATAGTAGTGCTTTTGGAAACCCATCGACCTACAACATTTAATCATTTAATGAGAACATGGCTTCCTACCGTTTTAAATCCTCTGTACATGACGCGGATTTCCTGTTTGGTGAACTTGGTCTGCCGGCACAGATCCTCGAGGGCAACGGGAATGGGCTTAGGCACTCGTGTGTGTTCCAACTCATAGACCACCTCCTCGATGGGACTCTCCGGTGGTGAGGCCATGTCGGTTTATTATTCGGCTTGATTATTGTTGACTGGTCGCGGTGTTTAATTAATATCGCTGCTGATTATGATTGGCGGCTTAATATCAATTTGCATTTAAGGTGCTCCGTTTTTAGGGACGCGACAGCGAACTCATTATGCCCAAAATTCGCTGTGAGTGTACAATTTCTTTGTGCTTTTTTATGGCTGCACAACCTTTTCAGCGGCTGCTGCTTTTAATCCCTTTCGGCGTATCCTTTTTTCGGTTTTGGTGGTTTTTGGTTACGGCTTCCTTTATGCCATTCTGCTAAGTCGCTAATGAGGCTACCTTGCTATAACGAAATGGAAAATAGAGGGCAGGTGAGATTGATACACTGCGAATATTATAACTTAAAAATTAAGAAATTATTAGCGTACGACCTTGCAAATAAACCCACAACTATCAAATATTTTTCTCCGTCATAAATCAGCGCTGGAAGTCGGGGCAAGGACACTTGCAGCTGCCGGAAGTGCAACTCGTAGCCGCAGCTACACCTGCATATAATGGCATCGAGTATACGCTCCGTTGACTCGCCCCGCCTGCGGCAACATGCAAATGAAGATTATTATTGCGTACCATAAATCAAAGGCGAATCGAGTTATGCGCGCACTTTGCTGCACTTGGAGCGCCTTCGTTTGTGCACCACGAAATGGGCGGTGGGGGTGGTGATTTTTGGGGGCGTGGCAATGCTGTTGCCCAGATGAAATTAATGAGCACTTAACATGCAAATGATTGGAATGCAAACTCATTCCCACAGACGGATTGATTCGCTCCGAACGCATAAACGCATTAACACTATGCAAATCAGCTTAGGTTGTTATTGAAGTGTAATTAGTGGTCTCAGGACCTTAAATCAACTTTATCCGATTATAGGAAATGGCTCAATGGAGAGCTACATAGGGTATGGTCTTAAAATACACAGTTTTCTATGTGTACTAAGTTCATTTAAAGCTTTTACGTTCGTGTCTTAGTTGAACATATTTCTTGTCTAATTCCCATTTGACTATTCGATTACGTTTATTGCTCATTCATCATAATAAAACCAATTCGTAAATCCAATCCCATAAATCCACAAATTGAATTTTCTCGCAATGACTCGCTTGCATCAGCTTAAATCAAATCTTCGGCGAACTTTTTACGTTTCTCCCTGACAAATTTCAACAGCACTTCAATATTTATCAGCGAAAAGTCAAAAAGTGTGTGCTCCGGACTATTTCCACTCTATTTCCATTTGCATTTCCATTCTATTTGCACCCACACCCACACCCACACTCACATAACACACAGCCAGGACTCTTGTTAGTTTAGGGCGGAAAAGCGGTGGCAGGGGATTTCCATTTCCGACGTCACGGTTATTTTTCAGTTGGAATTGATTAAGCGGCAGCTAGCCCAAAAACGGGGTCACTGCGAAAGGAAATAGCTTTGACAGTTTTAATCCAAGTGAAAGTATTTATATTCCTTTTTCACAGCTCCAAGTACCTTGCAACTCAGCTTTTCCTATTGCTTTTCAATGATGCTCTTCGCCCCCACTCATCATATATTATTTAAACTTTCATCTAAATGCAAAGTGATAAGCTTGGCTGGTAGCTCAATTATATAACCAAAATATTTACATCATTTGTATCATACAAATACCTTTTTTAAGCAATTCTAGCCATTCGTAACTGTTCAAAACAGTTGCCAAAAATCAGAATACGCTAAATCAGCTTGGCAAAACTTCCGATGCAAAACTTAATTTCCCAGCAGCTTTAGGGATTTCAGACTCCACCGAACTTTCTTGTTGAATACATTAATAATTTATAAATCGCCAAAGTAAGTCTTAAATATTTATGCAGCCAAAGACAGAGTGGAATCAATAACTTTTACCCAACGGAGCCATGAAAATGCGCTGAGTGAGCTCTTTAAGCCAAGAGCAACTGCTAAATGTTGCCTGCCATTAGCATAAACAGCATTAAAGGCGAAGAGGGCCATAAAACCGAATACAATGTCATACTTAGCTGCTCGAGCTGCAGCCAACTAATTTCATGACTCTATTTTGCACAAATCTCTGTGGCCCAGTCGGTGGGAAAAGTGGGGGAAAACTGGGGAAAATGCGGAATAAATGCCTGCATTTTACAACATTTGAAACCATGTTGGAGTCACGCCTTTAGTGTGGTCAGGATATCCTCACGTGCACTTAACGAAAATACGTACACCACCACCTTCACTACACCACTTAAAAGTTTTTTAAGCGCTTTGGCCAAGACCGTAATTAAAGGAAACAACGTAAAAGCAGTGATTGCTTAATATATACAGTTAATATATAAATAAATGTTCGCAGCAGCGCAATTTTTCCAGTGCCACATTCCTTTTTAACACACCGCATACACACCCGCACACGCAGATCCGAAATGCAGTTTTGGTGCGGCCTGTGTGTGTTTGTGGGTGCATGTGGGTGCCTGTGTGCCTGTGCATGTAAAATGTTTGTCAAATATCACGTATACGACATGTGCTTCCGGCAAAGAGCGCACGAACACCCTCGAACAGACGGCCAACCGAGCGGGTCGAGTCGAAGCCATTCATTGCCAGGGCGAAGCTAATTAAATATTAAACCAGGTCATAGTGCAAACGTAATAATGGGAAAATCCTTATTAGCCAATTGCCGATTGCAAGCGAAATACTTTCGCAAACACAGAGGCAATGACACACTGGATTGCACTCAACGAACGAATGGGTAAGGCATATGCAAATTTTCTTGCCAACAACTGCATGTTTATTCATTTGTCTAATTGTGTTGTTCTTGTAGCTGCCAAGATGTGGGGCGGTTGTGACGGACTTTTGGGGGGCTTTGCGGGTCCTGGTCCCGTGGTTCTGTGTGGCATGTCAGGACTTAAACTTATAAATGGCAACGACAACAGCAGCAGCTTACGAGGCAAGGACAAGGCTTGGCCTGGCCAGAACCAGAACCAGCTTGCATGCAGTCATGCAATGCCACTCGAATGATGGAAAAGAAAGCTAAAACTAAAACTAAACAAGAACGCACGCCAGGCCGCCCACTCTGCTAAGCTGAAATTGTCAACAGTGGTTTATGTATTTATACAACATAATATTTGAATTTGCTTTCCACGGGGCTGTTTGTATGATAAATACAATTTTGCAGCTGCAGAGATGCTCCTAATGATTTGCAGTGAGCAAATAGAACGAATATTCAATTTAACAAGAAAACACAACGTTCAAATGCCACTTGAAATCAAAAATGCCATAAAATATTAATTCAAGTTTATGCCCAGGAAAATTGATATATCCTAAGCCAGGTAAATTTGAATATTTGCTATAATCTGTTGATTAGTCAAATCAGTTATTCTCATGGCATTTTTCACAGCTGCACTTAAGCCATCAAAATATATCTATCTTCCACGTTCTGTGCTCTCTTCGATTGCTCGATTCATTTCGAGCTCTAGTTTTTAATGGTGATAACACTGTGCGGCTTTCATGTCTCCTAGCAGGTTCCATTGTCATTTCCTGCTGGTTTCATGCCACTTTCACGGACAACCCAGACAGAATGGCACGATGTGGGGAGTGCCGAGCTCGAAAGGCAGCGATACGAATTCGGCAATATCTAAATAGGAACTGATCCAGCACGCAACCACGAAAAACCACAGAGCCACTAGAAATTCGAGAGCATTATTAAATTGCGGATGTATTCACGGCATATCTGGGTATGTACGGGTATGTTCTTTTTGGGCCAATTGCCGTGCTGCAGACTACAGCAATTGAATTTTTTGCCTAAGCTTTGGCTGGCACTCACCCATAAGATTGGTGGGCAAATCTCGTTGCGCCTACAAAAGACAATAAATCAACGCCAATTATATGCCATTTTTCACTCTCTCTTCTGGATTTTTTTTTATATTTTTTCTGTGGCTTTTCACCAAGGCAAGCGATGACGACAGCTGATGAAGGGCTTTCAACACTTTTCAATCCGGCTTTTGGCCAGGTCTAAAGCCAAATCAGGCCACTATGCTGAATGGGAAAATAATGAAGAACGATTCCCCTTCCCATGAGGAAAAATCGGGTGTATTCGACCCAAAATGCATGTGCATTACCAATACGTTATCCCAATTATTGCCTGATCAATTGTGGGCAGTTTGATGTTGACGTGTTAATGGCCTAATTGTTTTGCAAACGGTCCAGTCAGCGCTAATTATTCAACCTGATTGCACTGAACCATACACCCATGTTAATGCGTTGCATGCCAATGTATGGCTTTTGCTAATTATTTATTTACTGCTAACTGTTTTCACATCAGCACGTAGACAAATGGTGTCGCAAAATGGTGTTAGACCAAAATGGCTGAGTGCTGATTTCTGATTTCACTTGAAGTGTATAATTGATGACGCCTTGAGAACTAAGGACCAAAGGAAGTGGCTACTCATTCTAGCTATCAATTTATCTATATTGTCTTTTTTTTTTACAAATCTGACAGCATGACGCATAATTAAAGTGGGTAATTGTGCCAAACTATATTCTGCCGATTGCCAAGAGATACGAAGTTGGCCCTGATCCAACATAAATACGAATGGCCTATCAGCGAGTTATGGGATACTCCAAAGGAAGTCATTATTCACTGAAAGGATGCAACAAAGTGCTTGTGAGCTCTATTAGCTTCGCACTGCATAAACTTAGTTTTAACCCCACCATTTGACATTCACTTTGAGATACGCCAGTGGTATACGCTTGGGGAAATCAGCTAAAAGCTAAAAGTGTTGATGGAAATCCCCTTCCCTCTTTGCAGCTAGTTTTCGGTTGTTAATGGAAACGAGTGCGATAATTTAAGAGGTTTTTTTCCAGCTGGCAACCACAACATCATTCCAGATAAGCCGGGCCAGCTGAATGCTCAAGGCGGCAATAACAAACGGCTCCCAGGAGCCATGAAAAGCAGCGTGCAGCATATGGTTTTCGCTCTCAGTTTGCAATAATTTTTTAGTTAAACCTAAGAGGGAAAAGCAATTTTGGCAAAGCATTTTCGGCTATCTTGAATCAACAAAGGCGCGAACCCAGCTCCGGGCCATTATTAGTCGCTCCTGATGCTCTAATCGCACTTCCGGCACGCGACACGTAATTGCCGGCACCTGGATATCGTTTGGGGTATATACTTGTGTACTGTAAGGAGCACCTGAACTTGTGGGTAAAGGCATTCCCATTTGGGATATAAATAGGAAATTCCGTGGAATTTGGTTTGAAAAGATGTTAACGATGGTGGAAGTGACTATTTACTTTGGCTTCAGTAATCATGTTCATTAGCATTACAAATAT